TAGCATGCCTCCCCTTTGGAGTTCACGTATTTGACTGTAGTCTGCAAGGTGTGGCCCGAGTTGCTGAGCTTTCCCTGGTCCAGCTGTCCTATCAACTGGGTGTTTGAAAGAATCAGTGTCCTTTTCGGGCTCTCACCTCCATGGAGTCTCATCCAGAATTTCTGGTGAAAAGCCTCGAAAGTCACGCAGGTGATGGCTGAAGGCTTTCGGTGTAAAGCAAAAACAAGAACAGATTCGTACCTGGTCATTTTGATGTAGTGCTGACAAAAAGCTTGTGATCCAATTCGCTTTAACATCTTTAGTACCCAGATCAGGCGGGGGTAAATCACGATTGCGCTAGAGGCAGGGTTCTCTAGCAACCATGTGGCTTGCATACAGGTCAAGAGGCAAAGCAACAAACAAGTCCTGCACGGATCCATGGCTTCGGATTAACAGTTTTTTGCAGCGTCCACTAGTAAAGTCCTAGGAACCTCCAGGTTGCCCACTAGACCATGCAATGAGAGGACTGTAAAGATCAAAGAATCGAACCAAAACCCTCCCAGTTGTATCCGGGTCCTCGATAGCAGTTTGTTTCCACGGCGGATGGCTGTGAGAAACCACCTACCCCAAGGATTCTAAAGGTTTCTTCCTGAAGTGCCGATGTTCACTGATGAAAACGTGCTGCAAACTGGCGCCAGCATGCTGGCAAGGGCTGCAAAGTCACCACGAAGGGCGAGTGCAATTGCCAACCTGGGCCGGGCCAAGAGGAATTACTATTGGAAAACAATGTTTCCCCAGCAGTTCTCTCCAAAGCGAGAAAAGAATGAGTAAGACCTGCTAAGCAAATTCAAAGCAACACAAAGCCGGCTTCTCCATTTATATCCATGAACTTTCTTGCACGCTGTAATCCGTTCTTCCATGTGGTAGGCCGATTATCGTACGATATGTCATATGATGCTACTCGCAGACCTGAACGCGCTGCCATTTTTGATACACGTGCCTTTCCCGAAAAATATTCTATCAACTGGTATGGTTTCCCCGCCAAGTCTGGCAGGTGCCTGCCAACTTGTGGACCAGAGAAAACTCCGTGACATTTAAAGTATTCTCAAGAAATGCCAGCAAAGAAACTTTGGGGGCTCCAATTGAAAGAAGCCTTCGCACTACCAGTTCAATCTCTTCTGGGGCCATGGCAGCAAAATAAGGGCTTGACAGCCTTCAATTAAAGGCTTTGAGCTCACCCAGCTTCTCAATCATGAAGTATAACACTGTTCATAAATCACCGCAAACCAATAAGAAACCACTGAAAGACGAGAAATAAAACATGGCAGGGGCACTACTTGGGCCTAACCTTGACCCAAGTTCAGGGCGGACTGTAAAGCCTTGTACTGCAAGGCAATTCGGAGGTGTGGGACGCCTGGCAAAGCTGAAAAGAAATTAATGCAGGATGGGAGGATTGATCGGCCTTGGCATTGCATTGTCAAAGCGGTGCCAAAGCCCACACCTGCAGAAACATAAGAACGAACTGTCACTAAAATCTACAGTGCCACAGGCTCAGCTATGGGGGCATGAGTGCAGACTGTAGGCAGAGACATGCAGAGACCTTTTCCAAATCTGGGAGCACTCACCCGAAATCCTGTGCCATCAGCAAAGGTTCATCCCTTGCTGCTTAACCTAGAGGATGAACGCGCGCACACTTCCAAGCTTGAAGCTGCAGCCTTTCAGGCGTACCCCTAATGATGGAATCCAAACAGTCAGCACAATTGTTGGTCAATTGTGCTTCCACCCAAAATGCGAGCCACCTAAAACGGATTTCATTCTTCAGCGTCTTCCATGGGACCTTTTGTGCTTTTGGATGAATCAAAGCTGGGGCTGAGTTAGAGGAGCCAGCAAAAAGCAACAGGTAACACGTGCAAAAATTAGAGGGGAGCAAAACAGTGTGATGAATGAGGTTCCCAACATTACTTCCTGACAATTGCGTTTAAAGGTGCAAATCCTTTTTTGGATACAAGGCTGAGTTGCGAAAGCTGGCTTCCAGCTTTTTTGCAGCAGCGTAGAAACCATCATAATTGCCCTGGCTTGTGAACTCTGAAGTTCCAAGGCAAAGCTTCCAAAATGCCTCCTTTGCAGGGTTGGGACTTGAAACAAACAGTGTCTTTGGGGCTTATCTTTAAGAGTAATTCAGGAGGTTAAAAGGGCACCTTGAAAAATATCATGACCCCTCTCCTGATATGCAGCAGGCGGGTCAACTCTGCACTTCACGTGATCGTTGTAGCAATCCCTGATGGCGCTAAACCTAGCAATGGCGCTCTCCGTCTTCGGGAAGGGCCGCCTCGCAAAGGAGCTTTCCTTCTTCTTCTTCGAAGCTGAGGCTTCCTCCTTGCCGTTCTTCTCCTTGCCGTTCTTCGCTTCCTCCCGTTCCACCTTCTCAACGCTCTTCTCCTTTTTGCGTTTTGGTGCCTCACGCTTCCTTTTCTGTTCTTTTCCGGCTTTCTCTTCCTTTTCCTTGGACTGCCCAGCATCTTGCTGAACAACTTCAGGCTTCTCCTCTTCAGTCTTCTTCTTGCCATTCTTCTTTTTGTTCTTCTTCTTGGGTTCAGCTTTTGCTTTCGCAGCCTTTGCCTTTGCTGCTGCCTTGCCCTTCGCCTTGGCACGCGGCATCAGTTGCTTATCCTTTTCATCAGCCTCATCATTTGGGCGAGTTTTTGCCCTCTTCTTCAGAGGCTTTTCGGCATCAACTGGCTCTGGCTCATCATCAGCTTCATCGCCTGAAGACTCCACACATTCAGGTTCAGCATCTTCCACAGCATCCTCATCAGACTCCGCCTTCTGCTTGCGAGATTTGCGCTTGGCACTGCATTTTGCCTTTGGAGGTCCATGCCGTTCACTGATCTGCACTTGGCTTGACCGAAGAACCACTGGGTCCTGCAGGGAAGCGCGATGGAAGGAACTAAGGGTGATGTTTCAAGAAAAAAAGCAAAACATGTTGGATACAAACGGTGGGCTGGGCCCTTGTCCTTTTTCTCGGGCTCATCAACTGGCGCCTTGTCAGCTCCATTGCCCTCGGAAGCATTCCCCACAGCAGCGTCCTTGGGCTGATCAACTGGTACCTTGTCAGCTCCTTTGCCCTCGGAAGCATTCCCCACAGCAGCGTCTGTGGGCTCATCAACTGGTACCTGGGGCGGAGCAGGAGGTTCACCAGTCCAGTCGCCCGCCGGGGGTTCTGCAACAGGTGGCAAAGGCTGCTCACTGGAAGCTTCCCCCACCTCAGCTGCAATCTCTTTGGGCAAGACAGCGGCGCCTGGACCAGCTTTGGACCCCTCAGTTTCCTCAAGCGCGGTCTTCTCCACAGGGACTGGTTCCTCTCCCAAACGAAGGGTTGCACTTTCACTTCCAACCTTTTTCTGGTAGGTGGAAATCATTTCACCAGCAGCATGTTCTCCCACAGGCGCTGGCTCCGGCTCAGCATAAACTTGAGCAACCGCATCCATGTCCACGGGGACAGTGTCAGTCAACTCTGAGCAAGGCATGCGCGCTGCACGGCGAGCATTCAGCACATTCCTGGGGAAGGTCAGGTGTCTAAAGGCTTTTATGTTCAGCCCTGATTCACAGTCTCTTTTGTTTGATTGGGGGAGGCCTTTCATTACAGTAATTAGGGGAAGGCTCATTGACACCAGGTTGGTTACAACTGTTGGAATGACACTTCCGCCTGATCAGGTCAATGCGAGCTTTCACCTGTTCAGCATTGGTGAGGCTGCCCTGGCCGCAAGCGGAGGGCGATGGAGTCGGGGTTGAAATGTCCTCGGCTGGTGGGTCCTGACGTGGAGCGGAGTAGCCATCATCAACTAAACCATCCTCAATGGCCAGAAGTGGTGGTTTGCAATCATCATCATCATCATCGACAGGAATTGGATCGGCAGGAGGTTGAGGAGGGGGAACACCACCGCCCCAGTTGTTGTCAAGGATATCCCACAAGGCTTGCAAACGGGCATCCTTAGATATTTGCAAGATTGCGCCACTTTTCCCACAGATCCAAGCCGTCACTAGTCACCACTTCCCCTTTAAAAAAAAGTTGACTTAGTCCAAGTGTCTCTAGGGCCAAGGGCTCCAGAGTCGTCTCATTGCATGACTGAAAAGCTTTTTGATTCCCCATGCATCGGCGCTTACCCGGGGTGGGTCCACTGCCATCCCCATTCGCGACCAAAAGTCTTTGACCTAAGGGCAAAGGTGAGTTTCAAGCCACCCGATAAATAAGCTATTTGTATTGGGGGGGGCATGCCCCATCCAGAATTTGTGCTTTCCCAGCCTCGGCCCTCGAAACAGATATCGGGATCAGCAGTGGCTCATCATTTGATGATGACCACCAATCAGCAACGATGAGCATAATCTTCAAGTTGCTGAGCAAGGAGCAACGTGTTCTTCCGGGCAAGATGCCTAACATGTTCTTCTCGCTCAAGAGCAACCGAAAGCTGCGCCATGCTGAGGTTGAGCCGGTGAGGTGGCAAGCTCTAACTTGAGCTCGGCTAGGGCCAGTGGAGTCCATGCGGATCACACCAGTCCAAGCAACCCACCTAAAGTCAAAGAGTGTACCAATATCCCTCCAACTCCCAGTGCCTCCAAGAAAGTGATCACAGGCGATAGGCTGAAGTGTGTCTCCGCCATGCTGGTACCTGTAGAGAGCCGGGATGAGGAAAAATGTGTGAGATGGAACTGAAGGGCGCACCAACAGCCAAGGGATGATCTTCCGGACGGTGTAGGCATGGGCACAGGAAGTAAGTGGCTCCAACATGCACACAGACCATCAAAGTCAATAAATTAAGTTTCATTCCAAAAGCGCCGCTTCGATTGAAAACCATGTTCTATCCCAAACTCAACAAATAAGACCCCTAGAGGAAGACCTAGGTATAGTGTTATAGTTAGCAAAGAATAGTAATGAACATGATGAGTTTCAGAATGGAACTTTGTCCGGTTTTTGCTTCAGCCATCGGTGTCACGAAGCTTCTCGCACAGCCGTGCCAGGGCACAAGGTGAGAAATCCCAAGGATGGAGCATCAGTGAAGGCCAAGGGAATACCTGACGGGTCAATCAAACGGGTCAGCAAAGCTCGTTTCCGGGTTTCCATAGAAGCAACATTCTGGAGGCTCATAGAATAGCCTAGCTATGTACCCATCTGCTGACAATCTTGACACGGAGGATCTGGATCGGAGATTTTGAGTATGAGAGGAAGCTTTGAGTTTGAAACTCCCAAAACAACGCCAGTTGCTAGCCAGTCTGCTGCCCTCCAAGAAATTCATGTGAAGGGTCAGCATCTCCAAGGATGACAACGTCGCCAACTCTTCCTCGCCGCAGGGAGGTCTCTGCAGAGGTCGGGCCCCGAAGATTGCCCTATCAGGTGCTTGGGACAAAACCTCGGTACCATCGCCTGCATCGAAGTTGCATTCTGAAGTTTCAGTGGTTCACATGTGTCCAGTCCCAGCTGCCAAAAATCCAGGCCAATGGATGAAGGTCTGCAAATGTCTGCAGGTCTACAAGGTCAATGTAGATTTGGAGCATATCTGGAGCTTCTCGTATGATGCCCCATGGGTGACTGCTGAAATGATTTAGATAGAGCTGGTGGCCCCAACCGGATCGAACGATTACCAAACTAGCGGCCCGTCTGGTCCGCCCAGCTGCGCCCTGCTGCTCTCTGATGGATGTTTAGGTGCAGTGCTGCCCAACGAGAGGAAAAGAACTAGTCGTTCAAATGTCAATATAGTAACATTATATATATATATATCGTATATATATATATATTGACAATACAAGAGTTTACAATATGGTTATGTAATAATACATTTAAACCGTTTTAAACATGTCCAAGATCTTGAAGATCTTTGTGATTCTCTCTCTCTCTCTCTGAACACCGCTCTCATGCCCTGGATGCTGGGACCATTTCCTGCGGGCGCCAAATGGCCAAGCTTCCGGCAGCTGCCCCGACAGCGAGTTGCGGTGTCTGGGCGCAAGGCGAGCGAAAGCGCGGATCAGGCGGATCGATCGATCAACAGGACACCAGAGTTGCTGAGACCTCCGTTTGGTCACATTCCCCTGCACCTGATAGAAGGACAAATAGAAGGAACCCTTTCTGACCTCAAGTTGGCAAGTCTACAGCTGCAGCACTGGAAGTCTTTGGCTTTGGAATCCAGTCCTGACACACAAGAACCTGACCCTCCTCTTGGTAACTTCAAAGAGATAACCTCTACATGCTAGGTTTAGGAGACTCTCATGCGTTGAGACCTTTCGGATAGTTTGGATGTGTCAGCCCCGTCTTCTCCGGGCTTGAACTTGAAGGAACACCAGCAACAAGGAAGCATGCCAACTTGGTGCGGCCTACCAAACAAGTGGGCCGAACTCCCTGCCCGGATCCGGGGTCCAAAGGGAACTGCAACCCCAAGAGGTCACGAGGAAAGAAGATGCTGCGTCTAATGGGTGATGTTGGTGATGTTCTTCTACAAAACTCCCCCAGTTTCCGTGTTGAAAACAAAGAAAACGACAGGAGGTTCTTCGTGGCCCGCTCCAAGGAGGAACACCTGATTTTCTCACCACACCTGATGTCTCTTGCGCTCATGTTGATGTTGAAAGACTCTCCTAAACAAAACCAACTGCTTCCCTTGAGATCGGGGTTTCTTCCAGAAGGCCGCTCCAGTCCAGGGCACAGGGTTAAGGCCTTCAGCGAAGAGAGATGCCTCACGCAGCTGGGGATCAGGCCTGTGAGCTCGTTGTTGTGCAAATAAATCCTTGGGCGGCTGAACTGCTTTGGAGAGACGTAGTGAACCTGGTTCCATCTGGTTTTGGCCACTTCCAGAGGAAGAAGCCGGATGGCACCTGGAGCAGATGGTGGATGGGAGCTGATTTCTTCACACAACACTCGAAGCTCCACAACATTGAACTGGCGCCCAACCATCAAGTCTGAACAATGTCCATGTGTAGTCCATGTCAATGTCCAAAAATAACAAGACGCGGCAAAAGGAAGGGGAGGAACTCAACCAACACCGCTTGATGCCAGAAAGGAACACTTGTGCAGATGCGAGGGCACAAATCTCCTGCGCCGATGGGTCGAAAAAGGTGTTACTTCAACACACCGTCTCGAGGGTCATGGGACATGTGTATGAACGCTTCCTTTATTGTGCTTAAATGTAGGCCTTCCGATGTTTTTTCCCATGTCGAATCCACCCCCTCCCAAGAAAAAGAAGGCACTGCAGATGTCACGACCCAAAAAGGCCCGTCGCGACGCAGAGCGACCTCGGCGTCGCGACATCGGCGCCGTGCGACGGATAGCGCGTCCTTGAGGTTTCCGCCTTGGAGACGTGTCGTGTTCGGTGGAGACGTGGAGACGTGGTGTCTGATGGCCATGGCCATGGCGAATAAGAAACAAAGACTTCACCATGCGTAAGAAGAGTCAGAACAGGCTTGTAGGATGTTGAAACAATTCCTCAGTATTGCTTATCATGTGATGAGAAGGCGACTCCTTGGAACATTTGGCTTCGATTAAACGTTAAGTGGCTGAAGGCGCAGCCAATCCTCAAAGACTTCAATCCACTGAATCTGGAAAATGATGGCCCTGACACACCAGAAATCCCATTTCTTACAGGACTCGGACCCATACACTCTTGCATCTCTTGCCCAGTTTGGACTTCAAGCCTCTGTTCGTCCAAAAGCCCAAGAGAAAGCAAACGGGAAAAACATGGTCCCCTTTGGTGACTCGTCCTGCGTGACTCTTCACTCTTCACTTCACATCGAAATCGAACTCTTCCTGCGAGCTTCTGATGGAATTCTGATGGAGCAAAAGCACCTGACACGTGGCAATCGGTGTGGTCGAGCGGATGCCTCCGTGGACTCCTTGGTGGTCTGTGTGTTTGCCAGGTAAAGCGATCCATCCAAAGAGAAAAGGGGTGGTACAAGGAATTTGCGATCAAACAGAAGGACAAAGTTCATGTACCCAATACTTTCCCTTAAGTAAAAATCAAGGTGTAAAAAGGTCATCCGCGGTCCTTCTTTGGGAGAGTCTTTGTTGAAATCCCTTGGCTAGGTGCCATATGTTGCCATCAGTGTGAGCTTTGCATAGCTTCGCTCCAGCTGCCCTGCGCCTTCAAGCCAGAGAGTTGGGTTAGGGCAGGGATGGACTGCAAGCGATTCTTCTGCGCGTAAAGGTACCTGAGAGCTGCGTCAGATGGTCTGACAAACGAACGCCCCCTGGTCAGATGGTCTGACATCTCCAAATACATCGATGCTCATGTTCCATTCGCTCGTACACCAAGAGAGTACTGCACTCCTACGCCATGGCACGGTACGTGGGGGTGCGGGAGGACTGGAAGGGCTCGTACACCAAACGAAGATGGACATGTTCCACGACAGAGTCCATGAGGATTCGCGGGACAGTTCCAACTCAGATATTCCAAGTATAGCCGAGAATAGCTATATAATGGTTCGCTTGTGTCTGGAGGCTAAGGTTCTACTGTAAATGCTGGCCTCTCTTAGTTCTTGCTAAGAACATAGATGGTCTCTTTGTTGAAACATTCTAAGAAAAACAAACAATGTACAGTAGTAGGATGCTTGAAGGCTCGCGCTCAATCCACAACCAACCACCCTCTTGCAAACATATTATGTGGCGCTTCCCCCCGAAACAGGTGTGTCAAAAAAATCAGGGTGTCTCTTGAGGAGGTCTGAACATTAGAGCCGATATAACTGCTCCCCATTGGGACTGATCAAGACCTTCCCAAAGTCCGGGCTGCGGATTCTAACATCGGTTCAATCAAACACATCAGTCGGAGCCATCCAGGAATGTCGGATGGCAGGTCACATCTGCTTCATCACTCTTCATCCACGCTACTTCAAACTCATCAACTTGCCAAGCGAGGAGGGCAGGGATGTGAGCCTGTTCTCCTGCAACTCCAACACCCTCAGCTCGTCTCAAGCACTCCGACCGTGCATCACTCGTAGCGAAGGAGGTATCAGAGTGAGGTTTCATGAGTGAAATTTGGCCTGTCTACAAGCGCCTCCAGGTAAGAACTGCTTGGACGACCGGCTCATGTCCTCGTTGCAGTCACTTCTAATCCTTTTTCAGGGCGATCCTCTTTCCCCAATAAGAGTTCTCACCCGGACTGGGAGCTGCGGGACGGATGGACGACGGATATCCTGTTCAAAGTTCGCGACAGCGACATAGTGAAAAAGGGAAACAACAATCGACACCTTTGGATTTGGATGAAGACTAAGGAAGCTTCACCAGGCTTATGAGGTCTTTTTCCACCCCAATTGACCGAGGAACCGTTCAAATTGCTGGTCCAAGGCGCTGTAAATTGGGCAATTCACCAATAGACTCAGGCAAAACGTCCAAGTGATTGTTCTGAAGCTTCAAATGCCTCATCTGAACAAATTGCGAACCCCGGATTGTCACTGCAATCTCAACTGGATGTGCATGATTGACCTGCATGGAACCTAAAATTATAGATCCTATAGTCCAGGGACGTTGTCAGGAGGTGACCTCCTCAAACACTCTGCAAGTGCATCCTCAGGTGATGACATGGACCCTACAATGAGGCTCCAAACGGAAGGTTCTCCAGGCGGAACGACATAAGCAAGCGTCAGACGAGTCGAAAATGCAGAGCCTGCCTGTGTTTCTAATAAAGTGTGCATGTGTTGATGTATTGAAAAAGTGCTAAGATAAATGTGTTGTTCCTTTTTTTAGAATCTGCATGAAGAAGTCGAAGTTGAACACAGTAAAGCACGATTTTGGAAATGCATCTTTTCATCTCCCCAGTCAGGATGTGGTTTCATGTTTTCTCATTTTTTTTGTTCAGCTGCACTGGTTCTCAAGTTTGCCCTCGGTCTCGTGCTTGAAAGCATCACGGTCACACCACGCATGCTTAGCACATGGCCCAGACGGAACTTACTTTCCAGTTCAATATGGATATATACATATGGCTACATAACATGGACATACAAGAACATACATGGGGTTGTGATGTCGATGACAATGTTGTGATGTCGACACGATTTCTTTGGATTGCTGAAGTCCCCGGAGAACCCCCTGTCCAGAGCCTAAAATGATCAGAGAATGCCCTTCTCCAGGTGAAGAGTTGTGAACTCGTCACCAAAACCGATAATTTGACGAGCTATCACAGAATCCAAGAACCTAAGGTTGAATCATACTTAATAATTTAATCTACAAACATGTTGGATCATGTTGCTACATCTTTGCCTACTTCCGCGAGTCTCCAGGCTTCCGCGAGGGTGACTCAGAAACCCACGACCGGTCACTCGCTCCGTACCTCGGTCAGTCCGTAGCTCGAAGGACTGGACTGGTCGAATCGACCGTTCGAAGCAAACCAAGAAGCTGGAGACTTTGCATCTGGCTCAGCGATTCGGGTAGATGCTGAAGACGATTGTTCTTCAGGTGTAGAAGCCTGCGCCACACCAGCAAACAAAGAAAACACGTATAAAAGCCGGTGTCAACACAAAGAAACTCATATACCTTGCATAGGTCCCATCGCCGCTGGTTAGTAGCTGATGTTTTTGTTAGGGTCTTTATTGAAGAATGTGAGACAGTTTCAACATGTATCAGTGGTCATTGACAGAGTGAATGAGACAACCACGAGTCATACTGAGCACCAAACTTTACCAAAGCTGAGACTTGCTGACTCGCAAGCTCTTGGCTCCAAGGTCTGTGAAGTAAGACTATTGACATGGATCAATATGTTTTACCCTTTCCCTCAAGCGTCCGGTCCATGCTTCTCTCCTGCATGAATGTGCGCGGAAGCTCCCAAAAGCACAGGCAAGCACAACACACCAACAGATGGCAAAATCACGCAAACAGTCTGAACAGCGTATATAAGAGCATGAAATGACGTGGGTTCTACTTCTAGAAACGGGCCAGCTCCACGTCAATCCATGTTAACCATGAGAGTCTTCGAGGCGTTCCATCCGTCCGTCGGGCCTCAAAGAGCTTGGAATCTCCGGTGTGTCCGGCAATGAGGTCAACTGATTGTCGCCCGCCAGGAGCTCCCTCGGTGGTCAAGTGCCAAGCTCGGTGTCAACGAAAATGGCAAGGGGTAAACACTGGTAAACCCAAATCTACCTGGTACTGGAAACTACTTGGGCAGGATGAAGCACTTGCATTTGGCAAAGTAGGGTGTTTTCCGGGGGTACGACGTCAAGTCCTCTTGAAATAGAGCCAAAAAACACTGAGCTGGAAGAGCCAAACACACATGCTTAAAGACCTAGCTTAACATGAATCACCAACTTCATTGACAACTCTTGTGAATGTTTTCTGTTAGTCTTGATCACTGGATGACCAGCTTGAGTCCAGTGGATGAAGGATGCTCTGGTTTCCGCTCGTTTGTGAGGCCTTCGCTGTCAGAATCCCAAGATGCATAGCCCGAGAAATTGTCATTCAAACCAAAACCCGCCTGAAAGGGGCTGTGGACCACAAGTTGAACTGTTGAATTTGAATTCAAGTTTCTGGACTTGTATTAAATAAATTCTAGAACATTCGTTGTCGGTATTCCGACCATCCATTTGTGTCGGCTCAGCACACCCTGCAAGAGCAAGGAACCCTCCAAAAGCCATTCTTGGCTGCTTACAACCCAACACAATCCCCGCCAAACGTACCAAAAGCCTGACCACGCTGAGATATCTGAGATCTTCTTGGGTTCCAGTTCAGGGCGGAGGCGGAAACGCCAAGTTGGTGAGATGTCTGTGGGCTTCCAACTCTCTAGTCCCCCATCCACGTGCCGATTTGGCCGATGAGAAGCTGCAAATTGCTCAAGCTGCCCCAGGAGGATGGCAAGGAGCTCAGCTTGTTCGCCTGCACATAGAGCCACCTCAGATCCGGAGACCTTCTGATGGATACAAGTTACAAGGGAGGCGACAGGTCCTGTCCATGATGGTTCTGCGGAGGCCAAGGCCAAGTCGTGCAGAGATTGTTCACAAGTCCTATGAGAGATTCGAGAATGGCCCCGAACCCGTTTAAAGTTGCAAATTCATGGCAACTGGCAACAAGCATCACATTTCATGGCAACTGGCAACAAGATGCGACAAGCACATGAAAATCATGGCAACTGCCGACAAGCATGATGATGGTCAAAGTTTTACAACTCTGAGTCCTCCAAACAACAGTCTCGTAAACAAACTGTTCATGCAAAAGCAAATCCCAACACATCACGAGAAAAACAGAAGACAGGGTCTTGTAAAGGTCATCACAAGACATCCCCAACAGTTGGGAGGTCTTGTCCTGTCTATATATCTATATATATATATATTTTTTTTTTGGGGGGGGTCTTGTCTTGCAAAGTCAATTATCCATGTCTCATGTGTTGCAAACATGACTTTTGATGTAACATCAAATCCTTATCCTGGGTCTTGTCTTTGTGAGACACAAAAAAGGGACGATGTTTTGACGATGCCTTGAAGCCTCCAAAAATGCATGCAGAATCTGACGTCCGGCGCAGTGCCGATGTTGGACCAGCTCGGCATTGGACTCTCTCTTTTGAGCTCAAAAGGCTGATCTGCTTTACTTTTGGGGGGGAGTTGCCATGCAATTTCCCTCCTAGGTCCTAGTTAGGTGGTTTCAACCCACTTGAAAAATACGAGGCAATGCGTTCAATGGTCCCAAGTAAAGGATGTAGACCAAAAAAAACAAAACTGAAACTACCACCCAGCCTCTCAATTGAACATTGCTCCAAACTCTTTGTCCGCAACCACCACGCTGGTCACGCTGAGTCCGGGCACCTCAGCCTCTTCATTTGGTGGAAGGATTCCGGCAGCGATCTCAGTTCATTCACCTGCACCATGAGGTACCTGATGCGGTCGAATGGATTCTTCACTCACTGCCGGATCGGGAGATGGGTGGATGATGTGATGGTAGTGGATCACTCAAGTGATGTTGATGTGGGGAAGTGGATAGCATGGCGCCTGAAAAAAAATAAACAAAAAAACATGTTCCTCTATAAACAGGGGGTTGTCCACTTCCATGTTTGTTGGAAGGAGTGTCAAGTTCCTGTGGGGCCCTGTACTTGGTCTATGCAATGAACGAAAAGGCCCCAGGAAATCTGCTATTTCTACGAAGTGGGAAAAAACTGAAGAAAGATGAAAACACCCGTGGCATTGCCCATCACAAAAGTACCTTGCCAGGTGTTAATCTTTCTCTATCAGCCCTGTCTATCTTCATTTAGGCAGCAATACGAGGTTCATAACATGTCATAGGATGTCATAGATCATAGGTGTGTTTTGGAGACTTCACACGAACGCCCTCGGTCCGGACCCGATGCCGTATACGGCAGGACTCCTTGGCGAGGACCCTTTTTTCAGATGGGACTCTTGATGTCGACAAGGTTGGATCATTTTCCAATGAAACGAACAAACTGGCACGAGAACAAGATTAGGTTGAGATGTCCAAGAAAGCACCCTGTTTATTTCACCCTGGATATCCCTGGATCCTGAGAAGTCTCCGTTTAGTACACATTCATGGCCGGACACGCCGTGCCAAGTGACACCAGCGCGGTCATTGAGGAAATGGATTCAGGTAGGGCATACAGTCGATTGTTCTGCAGCTTTAAGAACCTCAGGTTGCTGCAGTCGTGGTTCTTGTTGACCAGGATGGACCCTTTTGCGCACCCGGACTGGAAGATGGTCCTTCTCAGAAGACCACAGAAAACAAACACAAATGTTCAGGGTTCATGTTGCAGGTGTGGGACACCCGTCTCCCGGGATGGGTTAGCCCCCACCAGCCCCAACACCGACCTGGAAGAGGTAGGTCTCCCGGTTTGGACCCGCCAGATTCAAACACAAGGACGTCCAATTGGGTCTATCAGGTCTATCCGAGTCTACCTGCGCCTGAGGAATCCTGAGGATGATGATGGTTAGGGTTAGTAAAGGCCTTGTGAAAAAACATGATGATCATTTGATAATTGTTTACTGACTGTTACAGGTAATAGGACAGAGCCTATATTTATATATCTAAAATAATGACAATCCTATAGTGATATCCTAGTGACTTAATGGGCCTAGGTGTCAATGAGGCAGGGGCTGTTCCCTGCCCCAGCCAAAGGTCAAGGGAGTAACACTGCTTCAAACGAGCTTGGTGACGTGGGCTAAAGTCACGTGCTTGAATCCATGGTTATGATCATCCCATGGCAGGCCGCTTGAGGAACTTGGAAACCATGTTTACCTCTTCAACCCTCAGGGCCGTCACTAGGATAGCCACTCTTTGTTTCTGACAGGGTCCTTGACCCTTTGCAAGCTGCAGCAACAAAGCAGCATCTTTGCAGGCCGATGTCTGACTTCACATTGGCAAGACATTCCTTTCAAGTTAGCATCAAACATGCCAATCCAAGTAGGTCAAAACAAGGATGACATGGATGTCTTAGGGGGAAAACATGAGGCCTCAAAACACGTTCTCAGCACTCAGATGCTCATCTCGGCTTCTCAAAACCATGTTCCGTCCGTCCGGTCCAGCACATCCGCATCCGTCCGGTCCAGGTTGGTTGGACGGTCCAAAAGGAAAGCAGGGCCACGACATGGGGCCACCTGTGCGCTTTTGACCCGATTCGCGCTTCCCCGGTGACCTTTTTCAGCAGTGTTTTTCGTTGTCCATTAACCCCGAACGGAAGCAGCTGGTAGGTGAGTTTTTTCTGCCGATATTCACGTGGTGAACTTTTCGACCGACCTCTCATCTGTCCAAGAAGCCTCATGTCAGCAAGGTTGCCCAAATCTGCAGGTAGAGATTGCAAGTCATTGCTCTCAAGGTAAAGGTACCTCTCAATCAATAGTCACATCTCAGACCTCTACCCGTGCCGAAAAGCTCATATGTCTAATTACTCATCGAGCTCGGCCATGCACCTTCTTCAAGGGAAAACCAATGGCCATGCACATCTCATCACATAAATACTGGCTCTGCAAAACACACACACTGCCATCGTAAGCCAGAAAAATCAAAGGCCGGACCAAAGGACGTACAGAAAGACCGCGCTTCTGGAAGACCCTGCCGGGTTTTTTCCGGGAGATTCGTCCATGCTCAGCTTCGTTGAATTCAAACCACTCCAGCTTCGTCCGATTCGAAACCACTCCACGTCGGTCCGGTGGCATACGGGAATGCGCTTCCAACGGAGAAAGAAACAAAACCAAGCAAGATACACACACACACATTGGTCCTCTTTGCATTGCTGGGCAAGCTGTTTGGAGTGGCGTTTGGTGTGACTAAACCACACAACACCCCCACCTCAGCGAGTCCGTAAGCAGCTAAGGTGCTGTAGTGATTTGAGCTGAACCAAGGAATCCGGAAGTTGGCTCAGACGATTGTTGCCCAAAGCGAGCCATCTGCAGAGATGGAAAGGACAAAGAATCGGAACCAACACCCAAGTCATGTAGATGCTTGATGTAACCGACACCAACATTTGGATTGTTACATGTTTGTAACATGTCTCCAGGCTTGGGGGTGTCTTTGTTGTCGATAGGCAGGAGAAATACACCCTGCGACACCCAGGTGAAGCAGCCGAAACATTGAGGGGACTGAGGCCTACCTGTCTTTCCTGTGGGTGTCCTGTCCAACACTGTTGTTCCTTCAAAGGAAACACACACACAAGAACTAGACTACTAGACTAGCACCAGAAACTTGCCCCAAAACAAGGGAATGAAGCTGTAGCAGCCAGGTCAAAACATGCACTCGTCGTCCATCAGCCGTGAAGCCGAGGATTCGCAAGCTCGTAAGGGCAGCCATGTAAGGTTCAGATTAGTGGTGGGGGGAAGAGATCATCTACTGTGGCTGCTTGGCCAAAGACGCAAACAAACTGTCCTGCACATGCCTCCGAAAATCTTCTCCAGTCTTCATTTGCTAAGGGTTTAACCTTGAGTGGTCTAGTAAGACATATAACATATATATATCATTTATATACCCAAGGGCTCCAAGCACCTTCTCAGAAGGTACTTGGACCCTCTAAACCCACCCCGTACACCTTCTTAGAAGGTACTTGGAGCCCTAGGGATCATGAAAACCACAAGGACTTAAGGGTCATCGTCCACCTCTTCGGAAGAGGTTCATCGAGTTCCAATGGCCACCCACATCAATTCCCAAACGCGACCGATGGGACTGCCATAGGACTGCCGCCCGCCGCCCCAGAAAGACCCCCTGGCACCACCCCAACTGATCGGTATAGATGGCAGTCCCATGGAGCGTCTGGGAATTGCACTGGTGTTTGATCCGGAGATGAACAGAATGGATTCCGAAAAAGCTGTCGGAGGTCGACAGCTGAAAAGCGCCTTTTTCGCGCCTTTAGGACCCCTGATACACACACACACACACACGGTGCAGATACAGGTGTTTGGATGTATTTGTGTGTTTGCATGGTCCTGGACCCCTTCGTCCAGAATTCCTACAACTTCTCAACAAGGGCCCAAAGGCTGAAGAAACACCTGAAACTCTCTCAAGCGGCACAGGGTGAATCTTTCAGCCAAGCCTATGCCCACTCAAGTCTTGGCTAATGTGAACTCCAAGACACAGCAACTGTGTGGCATTCCCCAAGGACTTGGGTAGTTCGGTGAGCTGATTGTGTGCCAGGTGCAAACGCCTCGAAGACCCGAAGCATGGCGAAAATCTAAGACGTTTGCATTCACAACCGTACGAAGTGGTCAGTAAAGGAAGAGTTTGAAGAATCTTCAGAGGTCCATTTTGATGGAAGAGCACTCTGGTCCTTGGTGATCTGGCAAGAACGCAGCCACTGCGGACAAGGGCCGCTGTGAGATCAGATTCTGTGGGACCGGCAAGGGTGGTGGGACCGGGCAAGAGCCAGGCCCTACAGGTCCAACCTGGTCCTACAAGTCCAACTCCGGCAAAATGAAGTCTTGGACCTCTGTAGGGAGGAAGAGGTACCCCGTTGTGTTAATGGAAAACAGAAACACCCGGCGAAGAAGGTCGCCCATTCTCAACTTCGAAAAACAGGGTCTTTAGATGTATTGCTCATGAGTTTTGCTCGTGGAAATAAGGGCACTCCAAGTATATATCGACAAGGGCCAACCTTGACTCAACCGCGTGCCGTGAATCATTGAGTCTCTGAACAATGGTGGTCTGAGGCATTTACTGTAAAGACGATGCCTTTGTAATGTGTCCTTGGCAATTAAGTCTGTGTGATGGTTCACTATCTGGGTAGACACGAGGCCTTTTCTGGCACTTGTGTATTTGTCACACGACACTCTGCATGGAATCAAGCGTCATGTTGACATGTTGTCTCATATGCCGTTGTAACATGAGTTCCACCGTTTAACGCACTGAGTTCCCTCCATATGTGCCATTGATTGAACTGATATATACACACTCTGACGAACACATCACATGGAAGTGGATGGCATGGTCCCTTGGAAGACTACTTTCCTCTACGGATGGTGATGGAGGGTGAACTCCACTTCCATGTGATGTGTTCGTCGTAGTGTCATCTGTTGCATAAGACATCATAAGACCATATCGCTAGGGCTCCAAGTACCTTCTAAGAAGGTGTACGGGGTGGGTTTAGAGGGTCCCAGTACCTTCTGAGGAGGTACTTGGAGCCCTAGGGTATCGGATGTTGCGCCCCTCTTGCGCCCAACGCAGTGGGGACGCGTCACTGATTCTAAGCGTTGCCTGCGTTGCATCCAGGCGGCGTCAAGTTCTTCAACTGGCCCAAGGACTCTGGCAGCGTGGTCAACCGGTTGTTTCTCAAGGTGAGCTGCCTAGCCGGTCCAGCTGGGTGCCCAACATGCTGGATGGCTTGCAAACCAATGGGGAGAGGTCGTTCAACCTGGTCAAAACCTGGTCGACCAGTATCGCCGGTAGATCAACCAAGGATCACCAAGGTACATACCATAACTCCTTCTTCCACCCCGTGAAACTGGAGGGTCCTGGGAAGTCTCGGGTCCTGGGCAGCTCGTGCCCCGGTCGGTCGGACCGGGTCAGTCTCCACCCGGTCGGAGAGACGGACCACTGTGGGTCATTGGCACGCCCCTGGTGGTTGATCCCACGGAACATGAAGGTTTAATAGACAACGAGGAGGTCAGGTCTATTTCTGAGGTCAACCACAACCATTCTCTATTCCGAGGTCTATTCTGAGGTCTATTCTATTCTGAGGTCTATTCTGAGGCAAGGATTGGGGCTACAGGTGCCATGACCCATATCCCTGTGGACTTCGAAGTCAAGCGCGACTGAAACAGCGTGGAAGCGGATGTGTGGGACGGGACCAACGAAGCACGTCAAAAAGAACGAAAGAAAAGTCACTGGCTCCATTTAAGGCAAACGCATGCTTTGGACCCTTAAACCAGCGAAATGTTCATGTAGGGCATGTCATGACACGGAGCCTTTTGGGCGTTGTTTCACACACATTTGGCTTCAGCTATCTAGATTCTTGAAACCTCGATCGTCGATCTTTGCCCCTAAAAACACCCATCAGACCAACCAAACGGCAAACATTACTGTATGTTAAATGGAAGAATCTTGATGATTCAGGCAATATCCGTAATTAGATATGCAACAATTGTTCAGCACCAATGGAGACATGATGAGAAACCATGGGAATACGGTATAAATATGTTGTTTCAACCAGTCGAGCGAATTTCTATCCTCCCTCCAGGGGTCAGAATTCAGAACCATTCCTCACAGAGTTTTTGAGTTGATCACAAAGCAGCCCAGATGCTCCAGATTTCTCCTTAGCCAGCCGGGCCAGCCAAAGACAGAAGGATCAAACACACCATTGTCCCGACGCGCGGTGCAGTGGCCAGTACATCAATCCCAGCTTCGGCCCAATGTCTTGGGGTCATGAAACAAGACCATAGGACCTAGAGCGATTCGCGCGGAATCCTAGCTACCAGCCATATCATACAGTGCAGAATATGCATCAGGAAAAATGAACAGGGGCTTCCATCTCATAAAGTTCACATCCAGATTCCGGAACCACATCCCTCTGGGCAGTGTCACTGTCACTGAACTCAAGTGCTTCTTTTTATGTACTTTTCCATGAAAAACACGACATAAGGTGCGGACAACATTGTTTATTCATGCAATATGCCATATGCCAAACTGGGTCGTCCCCTATCGTTTGTGAGGATTTGGGCAATTGAATGCGATGTCATGATGGTGTCATGGGTGAAGTATCGGTTCTGAAGGGTTTGCCATGATGCGCTTTGTTTGCTGTGTGGTTGTGTTTCCATTTCGGGGCCTGAAGCTGTGAGTACCATGTGAAAGGCTTGTGGAAGCAAACAGCAGAGTAGCATCTCCTTTTTTCAACTTGGTGTTAACTCCCCATGTCTTCTCGCGTCGAGGCTCAACTGGCCCATGGACTCTGGGAGCGACGTCAGCTGGTTCGTCCCCAAGCTCAACCGCCTTAGGTCGACGAAGACCGGCCCGGCCGATCCGTGACCCCCCACCCAGTGTGCCTGCAAAGGCCTGCAAAGGCCTGCTGTGTCATTCTGGTTCCTCCAAAAAGGCTTGATGGTTTATTTTATTTAAGGTTATCCACGTTTCCTGGCTGACGGAGCATGACTCAGCATGACTAATAAAACCTGGCTCCGCGGTTTAAGTCGGAAGTCTGAAGCTCAAACTCAACTCCTGTGAGGACGGCTAAGTGTCATGTCGCCATCTTCGCGGTCACTGGCCTCGACACTTAAGATGATGTTCGTTTTAAGATGATGCTTGGAAAGGGCCAAGACACTTGAGTGCATTTAGCTCTCCCAAGGCATTTGGTAGGGAAGTGAACTGGTTGGAGTAAGCATGCAAATACCTCACGGCCGAGTTGGACCGGCATGGTAGGAGGGTGGGGAGGACGTACCTCGTAGCTTGACCAGGATGTGACAAGCTCGCATTGAAATATCCATCAACAATCTTCCATTTCAACGGCGCCAAATGCTAGAATCTAGTCATAGATAGCCAGTGTATGGTCAATGTTTATAATATAAACAATGGTTTCTTGGCACTCCTACGGTCCTTTGACAGGGTCACCAAGTTCACATCGTAAGCCCAGTTGGCCAAATCCAACAACGTCAAACATCCCCAAGAGACTTGGTTGTTGGATTGAACTCACAAACAAAACATATAAGTCAGTGATAGTCAGTGGGTTCTTTCTCATGCCAAGTAAAAGGCTGAACATTAAAATCAAATCGCCACCTAGGAAACATGGCGTGTGGTGATGGAGTTCGACCCAGAAACATGGGTCCTATATATATATATAACCCGCTCACCCGCTTCAAACAAGGGCTCCATCACCTCAGCTGGCCCCGGCCCCCTCAAAAAGAGGGGATGTCTCAGCTGTTGTCTCAGCTGCTTGAGCGAGGCGTTGAGCCGGCACAACGACTCGGGCAGTTCCATCAGCTGGTTTTTGGAAAGCTCCAAACGCCTCAGCTCGCTGTGTTTGGGGCCATCTGGATCCATGGTGGCAGGTGTTGGGCGTGGATGCATCGGTCCGAGCTCGGAGATGGCTCCAGAACATGGCTCCAGAAGATGCAAGAATCATCGTTCTTCCTGGTATACACACAAGGGATGAAAGGAATGCATATGGATTCTACCGATGCTTCCTGGCGTGAAGACATCAATTGTCGGGACAAAAACAACTAAAGACTTCCTTGTCAGGACAATAAGTTGAAGAAACCAACACAACTCTGAGTTCCGCCAAGCAACCAACCGACTCTGGGTTCCGCCCCCTTTTTCGGTGGAACCCACCGGCCAGGTCTGGTGCTGCCGTGACGCTTCAGTTGTTGCAATCCTTGGGTCTGGGCGGAGGTGTTTCGGGTGGGGGGAACCGGGGGCCCCGGGGTGGGGAGTGTTTCGGGTGCGGAAAAGAGGTTCCCAAGATTGGAACCGGGCCGGGCCCCGAGGTTTTGAAAGAGGTTGGGAGCCTTTGGGACCCCTGAAAGGAAGTGGGTAGATTTATGATGTATGAGGTGAAGTATGTCATGGTGGCAACTGCTATCACTAGCCAGCATTCTCCAAATTCAACAATCACCACTTCGACACAACAAACACAGCAGCTTGCAAAAGACCAGCATGCTACTTTCGAATATAGGATCAACTATGTCTTTTTTGCATCTGGTTTACCGTCCTTTTGATTGACATCTCAAGCTCCTGTAGCTGTGGTACTCCTGTGATGAAGCCTTCTCCAATGGGCTCCAGTGGCCATCTTGCGCTACACGAATCGAATCGTCAGCTGTGGCTACAAACACCATCACGCACCGTTCACACGGCTGAATTTATCAAAAAGACTAGGACACTGCCTAGGGCCTATATGGCTCCAAGTACCTCCCAGAAGGTATTTAAACCTTCAAACCCGCCCCAAACAACTTCTCGAAGGGTAGTTGGAGCCCTAGGGAGAGTCTTTGACGTCTACTTGTAGATGTTGAGGCACAAAAAGTGTTTATCATCAACCACAGAAAGAGTTCACTTCAAAGCGCCATGGCTGATATATGCTGATATCATGTTTCATGAGCATTGGATCACCAGCACATCGTCCACATCTCAGAAGCATTAGAAACATCCAATGTCATGGAGGACCCCTGGTCTGGTTCCAATCATGAGATCCTTACCGCTGCTTCCCTATGGATCTTGGAATATCTTGGATGAAGATCCCTGGTGACCGGTGTTTTATCGTTCTTTTTTTCACACCCAAAAACACCCCGAGAGATCGGGTGGACCCGGACCCAACCCCGAGACAGGCTTCGATCTAAACCTTCAGGTAGGTCGGTCAGCTGATTGCTGGCGAGGTAGAGCGATCTCAGCTTGCTGGCGGCTCGCCAAGTCGATGGCACCATTGAAAGCCCAGGTACAGTCGCATGATTTTGAGACATCCTTCAAGGGTTGTGGCCAACTGTATCAGGGCATGACCTGTTCTCCCTCGTTCTCCGTCTTTCTCCGTTGGGATGAAAAATAAAGATACACCAAGCTGTTACCTCCAGCTACGTTGAAAAACGAGGTCGCCAGCTGGACGACCTCCACTGACCAGTTCTGACTTGGAGGAACTTGCAGGATCGCCACATCTCTGCTCTTAGGAGAAGGTGTCGCCTGTTCGACATCCGTCACTGCCGAAAATCAGAGCCTAGAATTTGGGCAACTCAATAGAATTTGGGCCACACAGACCAAGTCGGGTGACTTGTTCTTTTGTTCTTATGCAACACATTAGAATTTTACTTCATATTATGTCCATGATCGAGAGTTGTAATTAATTACAGCAAAATAACAGTTGAATGATTTTGATTATAGAAATGTGGCAGGTGGAAACCAAAGAAGAGGTGAGTCAACTTTCATTTGCATCCTCATACAGTCAGAATCAAAGATGTCAGTCTTTTGGAAACACCACATTTCTGTCACCCGTCACAGGCCTCTGCGTGTCGAAAAAGAAAAGAACCCCCGACGTAATTCGTTTGCTACTGTAGTTATTCGGAAAAGGAACAAATCAAACACATTAAATTTGCAAGAGTACTGGAGTACTCAAATGTTTGGAGACCCCTCTCAACTGAGCAGTTTTGTGCGTGGTGTTTGGAGACCCTCACACCTGCGGACCTACCGCCTTCTCCTCAGCCAAGAGAATCCCTTTGATCAAGTGCCGCGAAAGTATCCGTTAGTAAATAATGTCGATGAATCAAATCACCCCATATGAAAATGTTGATGTAAGTAAATAATGTTGGGTGCCAGCAAGTGGTAGCTTGCGGCAGAGTCTCACGCCTGACTTCGTGAGCGCGAGTGGTAGAAAAGGTTATGCATGCATTGTGTCTTAATCATGTTCAATCCACATTGCAAAACAAAATGATTGACCGAGAGTATCCAAGAGTATCTTGTTGATCTTTCGTCTTCGGGAAAACCAGAGGATGACGACACTCTCGACACCTACACCTCTCCCATTCGCCTCATCGTCCATCGATGTCCGTCGGTCTACATTACATTTCAATTCCAAGTCCGCCAGCGGAACGGTTTTGCCGAGGAACACCAACGATTCCATTCCATGAAAGAACTTCTCCGGCAAAGAAGTCAACCTTGGAATTCTGAGAACTTTATAAGGTGTCAAGCTGCAAAAAAAAGGGGAAAGATTGGAAGGAAAATCTTCATACAAACTCATATAATGTATAAATATATATATATGCGAAAGCGGACCTTTTCTTGAGCATTCACGGCCTAGCGGTATGTACTTGTGAGTACAATTCAATGATCTAAGTACTCCTCCTTTGGTGGCTGAGCTGACGCTGCTCTTTTCCTTTTTCTCATGCTCTTGATCAGTCAGTGACGAAAATAACCACTTTCTGTAGTTCTTCGTAAAGTTTTCGCAGCTTCACTCTGTCACCAACTCTGTTGTAGAACTCGATGCTGTCTTCAAGTTTCAATAAATCTTCTCTTGCCTGCAATGACGCTCAACGTCTGTTGGTCCATCTGTTGCTTCTCCTCCTCCAGTTGCTCTCATTGCTGCGGCACCTGTCATATCAACATCACTGTCTTGACGTTCTGGCCCTTCAACTTCAACTTCTGGTTCATCTGGTGGTTCAAACGGTGGAGGAGCTGCCTCTCACCCATTGTTCTTGGTACCAGTTCTGCGCTCAGATATTCCACTGGAATTTCAACTTCTCTCCCATCATCCAGTAGAACTGTAGCTGCCATGCCACTCAAACTATCTTTGTTTTCTTCTTCTCCCGAGCTTGATGCCCCTGCGCCATTTCCTCGTATTGAAGGCGGTGGAATATCAGCTGTATTTCGTCGCCTCCTCTCTTCTGTGTGATCGACTCCTCGTCTTGTCACATTGGATTCATGTACCATGAATCTTTCTGCCATCTTCTCCTGTCCCCACTTTTGATTGACCTTCTCAAGAAACTGCATGCACCTTTCTTTCTCTGAAGTCAACTCTTCTTGTTCCACAAAACCGTTCTGCTTGACTATAGCTCCGTGCAGGCGTTGGCAAATAATCATCTCTCATCGAATCAAACTGCCCTTGGTTGATCACGTAGGACTTGAACTCGAGTCTGGCTTCCTCAATTTCGTCCTTTGCTGAACTCAATCCTAAGATCTGATATCTCAATTCTAATCCATTTTCTTCGATCCTCTTCTCTAACTTCTTGTACTTCTTCCGAATCAGGAAACTGCCAAATAGAGTTACTGCCATTGCGAAAAGGATCGCCCAGAACCATGTCCTTGACAAGTTCTCCTCTCGCAATGTCATCTCAGTTCTTTCCGCCTGTGCCACTGACCCAAGGCCGCTAAATGGAGTCTTCACGTGTTTGACCTTCTGTTGACTTCAATTAGCCAATCAGCTCTTTCCTTCTGCTCACGCTCAATGCCTTTGGTGTTGACATAGATGATGCAAGTTCCTTGATCGTGAAGCCCAAACCCAATCTTTCTGGTGACCAGTAAATGCCACTGCCGACCAGAGATCGGTATAGTGCTACTTGAGGATTGGAGCCCATCTCCTGGTGACTTCATCTGGGTCACTGAGATCTCAAACTTCTCTCTCAGTTTTTCAATGAAGTGTTGAACTGCCTCCTCCTGTCCGTAATACAGGATGTCATCGACATGAATCAGCACAAAGATTTGGTCTGCCTTTCTGCCAAACACGCGCTCCCTTTGCAGAATGCAAATGCAATGCTCTCTAGAAACTCAATTTATGTAACTGGAGTTGAACTCGAAATCTCCACAGGTTTGTTGTCACCTGCAACTCTTTTCGCTGATCCACTTGTAGGAAGGCGTCTTTGATATCCAAGCTTCCCATCATCGATGTCTTCTTGGCGAGTTCCAAACCTCTGTCCATCAGAAACATCACTGGTAGTAATCGAAGTCCATGGGTGCTTGAAGTAGGTGAGAGTAGGTGATATCTCTTTTGGTGTTTGCAGATTCTCTCGCCGCAAGACGTCCTCTTCTAAGCCCTTGTCTTGATCCGCCAGTCGTGGACAGAGCGAGTTGTAAGGATCTCCAAGTCTTGTTCCCCATCAAGAAGGTCTGGCAACACTCCCATGCTTTTCAACCGCTTTTCCTCGACAAATCTACTTCTGCTGTTGGTTGTCCAGGCATTGAGATCAATGGGTTCATTGCTCCACAATTCATCTAGAATTTCTGTCTCTTCTTTGTAATCTTGAAAGTTCTTCCAGAGCAAAGAAGTTCTCTTCACTTACTACTTCATCCAAATGGTACATCTCAATGTCCTGACGTTGTACTTTCTCTAATCGTTCTTGAATCATCATCCGCAAAGAACTTGACGACCTTCCTTCTGCGCTGCTTCTTTGCGGAGCTGGTTCTGACATGACTGCGCTTTCCGGTGGTGGTGTCTGCTTCAAAGGTTTCTCCCACGGTAGGTCCTCAAGGATCACATCTTCCACCTTTTCCTCAGGTTTGTTTTCTTGTGCAATCTCTGGATCTATGAGAAGTTCTCTACCAAATTCTTCTGCAGCTTCTTGAAGTTCTTTCATAGTTTCTGCTCTACCTTGGGAAGACTTTGCATAGTTCTCCACTTTTTCCGCATCTAGATCACATATCTGTAGGTAATGGCTTCCAACGGTTGCAATGGTCCATTCCTCAAGGCTTGGGTTCCAACTGCCCTTTTTGTAGGCACTATGCGTCCTCATCCTCCTGAAGAAAATCCCATGTAGTAAGCAAGAAATCTCGTCCAAGGTCTATCCACTTTTCTCACACTCCTTGTAAGCGTGATCCTTTCACCATCTGATACAATCCAAGCATCTTGTCCATCGGTCTTGCCCAAGAAGATGGTCATCTTTCACTTTGGGTCTCCTGTTGGTGGATTAAGAGCTTGCGACCTTACATAGGCATAGACTGGACATCCGAAAGGTACGATGCTTCCTGTGCGTCAAAAGACGTCACTCCATGATAGGCTTGATATCGGTTTATGATCCAGCAAGAGTGCTTGGCTGCCCATGACCATAATGAGTGGCTGCTATTCAGCCTCACTTGAACTCTTGACATCAAATCCTCCATGGTGGTACACATCAATCCTCGTGCTCGTTGCGCTGCATTCTCTGCCAGACTCTGCCAGCGAGTTTCCAGCAGTATCAATACGGGATGTGAGAATTCATGTCCTCATTCCAAGCACATGCCCGCTGTCCCACAAGATTCTCAAAATTGATCTGATGGTTGGTTCATTGTCTCCATAGAAAGCTACTTCGTGGTGACCGAGATGTTGACAACGTCTTTTGCGGAGTTGCTGCTACACTTCCCGTTTGTGAACATGTCATGATCATCCACATTGTCGACTTCACTTCCTTCAACCCTTTCCCTCAACCAGGTTCGCCTTTCGCTTCTGCTTCCTCTCCTTCTTCCTCAATTAACATTTCTTCAAAAGTCCTTTGGATCTCTTGTATCGATAGGGCCTGCCTTGGTGAAGCAAAGATCGAGACTGATGACCGAGATACCTGACATTCTGCCTACCTATTTGAAGGTGTCTATCTTGCCTTGCTCTATGCATTCCATGGAGCGTAGGGTGTATGAGTGAGTGATGTTTCTCCTGTTCTTCTTCCGTGGGAACTGGTACAATGGCTTCTCCTCGTGCCTCTCTTGACACTTCATTTCTCGCGTTTGCCGCTATCTCTGCAGCTGCCTTCAACTCTCTTTCTTTCAATGACTCATGATTCTCTGAAAGCATGTCAATTTGCTCCCAGATTGTGAAAACCCGAAAAACTTGCAAGCTGCTCGAAGTTCACGAAGTGGACTATCCTTTGTCAAAGTGATACCATTCACCTCCACTTCATCACTGTCTGGACTTCCCAGCACTAATCTATATACCCTCTTGAATCGTAGGGTCTGCCTCATACATCTCATAGTGGCTCCAAGACTTCAAATCCAAGATCTTCTGGTCCATGTTCACCTGCTGACAAAATTGTCAACACTAAGGCTCTCTCTCTCTCTCTCTTTCTCTCTCTCTCAAGCCTTCTACTTTCTCTTCCTGCTCCATCATCAGGTTCAGCGGCATTGCCATCTCAACCAACTTCCATTTGCCGTGCTCCATCACGAAGGTAGTCCTGTCCCAGGCTATTTCCTGATCAATACCACTCATCCCAAGAGGTGTCTGATAATTCGTGGACAGGTGAATCCCAATCCACTTGCTTCCATACTTCTTCCACCGCCTGTGACTTTAAGCTCGTTTCCAAGCTTCACTTCCACTGCGTCTAGGGCTCTCACAAAACATGGTAATGCTTCCACTTTGCGAATCTTCGCCTGCGCAGCAATCAGGCTTTTGTGTTGCATCTCCGAGGCAATCTTGACCTGCGACCCAAAGCAAAGAGTCTTCTCCTGGCCATCTATCCCCCATCCAGCCTCTAACAATCTTCCGAACGACACGAACTTCGTCTGCAAAGTGGGCCCTTTCATGCACTTGTACCTTGCGGCCTTCTTCTGTCTCCATGATGAAGCATACATCTCTCAATCCTTTCACTTCAATCTTCGTGCCTTGAGCATCGTGAAGATGATGTGGATTTTCCTGAGATGGTTGCCCCACCCCTGTGAGCATTTCACTAGGTAAAACCGTTGCATCCGCACCACAACCCAACACTACTGGAAACCAATGCTCTTCACTCCTCAGGTAACCATCGTCAGCATCTGCTGTAGCCCGTACTGCGCTAACAGACAATGTCACCTCCTCACTCGTTTCTCTTGGATCATTCTCTTCCATGAAGAAACATTGGACTGCCCTGATCACGCCACTGTCATCATCGAACTCTCTCAATCCAACCACAAAAGGATCCAGCGAGGTTTGTGAAACACTCTCCAAAGAGGTTTGAGAAACTCTCCTGATAGTGGCTCTATTGGCATGGTAGACAAGCTGTTGCACTGGCATCATGCTTTGTTGCATGGCTAGTTCCACCTCCTGTCGGCGATGTACAGGAATGGCCGAACTCTCCAGCAATCTTTAGCCACATGGCCTGGCTTGCCACACATGTAACATACTTTGCCTTTGCCTTTTTGCGTTTGTCATGTTTCCAGGAAGATTGCTTCTCCCCTTTGCCCCAGCCTTCTTTGTTCCAACTTTCGTAGCCCTTTTTGCCTCCATCTCCTTTACCTTTGCCGCCGTGTCCTTTCCTTTTCCCTTTGACTTTCCGTCCTTCGTCTCTCCCTTGCCTTTCTTCCCTTTGTCCTGAACTCTGTCGATGTCCATGGGTGCCAAACCTTTGTCATCGGAAGTCAACATCATAGCTTGGCTCCACTTCAATGTTGCCTTGTCATACTCGAGGACTTTCTCTCTCAAAGTGACATAGCTGGTGGATTCTGGCAAATTTAATCTCTTCAGCTAACTTCGCTCCAGTCTTCTCATACTCTCGAAAAGCATCTTCTATTTTCACCAGTTGTGACAGCATATTCTTCTGCATATCAAGTGAAGACCAGCCAAGGATAGAATTAAGTATGCCGAGTGATCTATTCCGGCTTACCGGCTCCAAGGAACTCAAAAATTGCCTGCAGGCCTCAAATCCATAGCTTCCTGTACCTTGTCTCAATACCAGCAAGGGTCGATTCTTCAGTAGTCCCGGAAAAAGGCTATTTTGGAATGAGCTGCGGCTTTTCTCTTTGTCTCCCATCAAAGAGATATCAGCTTCTGTCGATGGATTCTTTCTCAAAGCTTCGAAGTCTGCAAGGTACTCGATGTCAAAGGATGCTAAATACTGTTGCAATGACCACACAAAATCACGCCACATCGACAATTCTTCCTCTCTACTCTTAGGATAATATACTCCAGGCTTGGGCAATGTCTTGTACCAACTCTTTTCATCCTGTCTTTGGTTCTTCAACTCTGCCAAAGCTTGAGCCGCTGCTGTGGATGCAGCCTCCATCGCCATCATCATTCTCCTCGCCAATTCTGCTCCATGTATTTGTTGGCCTGCGGCTCCACTTGGGCTTCCAGCTGGGCTCATCACCGGAGAACCCTCCGCGCCAGCCATGGCGTCGCACTGAGCCTCACCCTTCCGGGATCCTTGGCTCCGCTACCATGAGAAAGCGGACCTTTTCTTGAGCATGCACAGCCGAGCGGTATATACTTGTGAGACTTGAGTACAATTCAAAGATCTAAGTAATATCATATACCGGGAAAGCAACTGAACCGAACCTATATAGTTCTTCAACATGACCTTTTCATACCTGGCAGGGTTGTTGCAGTTAATATTCCACATGTTTGTTTTCCAGGCAGTTGTACTCTCCCTGCAAAAACCACGGAAGTGGAACATAGGCCCCTTTCAAAACCCTCTTCCAAGGGCTGCTCGGCTCAGTTTCCATGATTCTCACAATAAAAAGACTGCAAACTGCTGACCAAGGCCACTCGTTTCCGAACAAGTTGAGGAACCTGAGCATGCGACTTCACTGAGCTGTCAATGTGGCGATGGTGGGGTCCAACATCTTTCAAAAACTCCTGGCGAATGCAGGGACAAATGATTCATGATGAATCTGGCTTCATTCAGAACATGTTAGCCAAAGCGCTTCAGAACAGGTAAATCCCACTTCATCGGCAGCTGCCTGAGCTTGTTGTGCTGAAGTTGCATTGACCTGAGCGGAACTCGGAAGACACGCCGACCGCATGCAAGTCGAAGCCGAAACCGGTTGATTTAATCCTGATGCGATCGGTTTCACGCATAGTCATATATTGTCAAAGACGTCAGCCGGAGTCTTCAAAGATCTTCCGTTCACGATAGCTGCACGACCAAGGTGCGTCAACTCTGGCAAAATGCTGACCTGAAGCCCGAGAATTGAACATCTGAACCCGTCAAAATGTGTTCCGATTAGACTACATGTCCAAACCATGTCGAACCCAAGACGCACTAACTCACCTTCGTTCTATGGGGTTGGGATGTGTTCTGACTCCTTTGAAAAGAAATCCTGAAGCAACACAAATCCAGGTGTTCCATTTGGACTACCTCCAACAAACGGTCCTCCTTTTTCTCAATGCAGCCAAGGGACCCAGTCAGGTACACGCGTGAGCTGATTCTCGACCAAGTTCATGAACCTCAGCCCGTGCTCTGAGGCCCGACGGTCACAGCCAAGCTTCGGAAAGGAGAAAAGGTTGGAACCAAGGCATCAACCGAACAACTTCATCTCAGTGTAGTGGATCAATACTATATATATAGCACAAAAGCCTGTTGTTTTAAAGGGGTGAACGCAAGAACATCGGGTTTCACACACATTCTGAAATACATCGGGGTTTGCCAAAAAGGACTGAGTTTTCCAAAAACCGTTTTTACTTGACATTCTTTCAGTTTCTGCTCTGACTATACAGTGGCGAAGAACATCACAACAAGGCAACACGACCCCGAATGACTCGCGTAGTCGTGGATCAGTTCATGGCAATTCCCAGTGTTTTGTAGATGCAGATCTTTTGTCTCAGGTCATTTTTGAACATTCATATGCATTTACATTGAGACTCACAAGCGCGCCATTCCCTCCAACCCCCCAAAAGTTGCATCATCAGTTTTCACCGCAACAAATCGTGAAAACGTAAGACGCCGACTCAACACAAACAAAGAGGCTGTGACCCTTGGTGGTATGTACGGTTGTTCTGTAAATTCGTCCCACACGGACGGCCAACACAACCACAATAATTCCCCGTAGTCCTCGAGACAATAGAAATCTAACGCCCACCGGTCAGGGTCTAAACAAATGTCCCTTACGAAGGCCATCGCAAAGAGCCATGCTTTTAGAGATGGAAGATCCAACATCCATCAGGGAAAGAAAAAACATCATGAATCATGTGGGCCAAACACACAAACACACACCCAAAGGACCAAATGAATTTAAATGGGTGTGTAGCTCAAATACGGAGACCTCCCAGTTCGACCCTCTGGAAGAAGGAAAATAGACCAAAAGTGACCAAAACCCATTGGTTGGGAATTTACACACCCACATGGAGTCGCTAAGACCATCTAAGACCCGCATGCACTGTCCAGTAACCCAGTGGACTTGGTAGAACTTTCTCCCAGGCCAAACCAGGCTGAAAATGACCAGATTGGTGATAGTTCATGAACTCGGGAGAGGACTGCCCAAACCTCATCCATTGAGCCCAGTTGGTGAACATGCAGTGGACGCGGATGAGATGGCGCCTCATGTGTGGCCTCATGTCTCTTGGACCTTTGGACTTGCTGGGTCAATGCCTAGGAACAAGGACGCTACTAACAAAGGGCCTCTTTGGATTCATCGTCCCACACGGTCAAGTGAGTTGAAGCCAGAAACCCGTTTCAGCACCAGGTCGGCCGACGGCGCACCGCTGCGGATCGACACTGGGAAGTGAAACGAGACTTGGAGCGAACCCTCCATGCTGGTGCCAATGATATTGGCGAACATTCACCAGCCAAAACCACCGGAACGTCACGTGCGTGGCCTGAAAACACCCATCTGCACGCACAAACACCGCCCACTACACTACACCACCCATTACAGTCTGGCACCTTCTCCAGAAAGGCTTTGATTGACCATTTCACCGCTTCGTGGTCTTTCTTCCGCCCTCCACACTCCACTTCGCCCTCCACCCCGCCCTCCACACTCCACGCTGGCCTCAAGTTGGGGAGGTCGCACGTCGGCAGCGACGTCAAGTTGTTCCGCCCCAAGTTCAGCATCCTGACGCTTTCGACCCCCGCTGGCGCTGGGCTTCGACCCGAAGCTGGCTTCGGCAAACGTTGTTTTTCGGGTGAAGGTTGGAATTTTTTGTGGGACCGTTTGGGGAGGTTCCACGAGGTTCCACTCTTGGGCATAGTTTCAATCCGATCTTGAGGAATTGCAATGGATTAGAAGTTGTTGGCGATGGAATTGTGAGGTATTGGTTAGAGTCCAGTCCATATTGTTGTGTAATTTGTTCAACAGTTGAATGTCCTTAAATGGACCAATCGACCAGTCTTCTGCGTTCGGATTTCTCTTCGACCTGTCTCAGACTGATTGAAGGTCAAGCCTGAGCGATGACAAAGCTGAGTGAGGAGATCAGTGGGCCGGCACCCTCCAAGAGCTAAACTGGCATGATGGCTTTCGATGGCTCCAAAAGCTCGAGAATTCAGGAGTACAAGACTTCAGGACCTTGGGATGCCCTGCCATGCTACTGATGTTTACTGAACTTGCCAATGTGCTCCTGTCGAACATGTATCAAAACAAGACAAAAACAAAAAGCTGCCCTCACCTCAAGTCCGGCAGTTTGCATACAGCTTCAGGGACTGTGGTCAACTGGTTGTGCTGCAGGTATAATCCCCTGGGCAAAGGGGAACGGATGGGATGGCGTCTTGTCACCCACCGGATCCAAGAACTACCCCCGGCATCCCGGAAATCGAGACCGCAAGCCCTATATGGACAGGAGGTCTGGCCATGAGGTGGACCCAACCAATGAGTGGCGCGGGTGCCACAGATGGGGAGAAGAAGAATCAAGACCACTGTAGCACCGGTTTGAAGCTCCTGTCTAATCCAGAAAAAGTCAAATTTGGCTCCGGCCATGCGTTCCTTACTCTTTAGTAGATTCAGGTCCAAACGATTGCCCCTCACCAGGGCACCAATCATCTTGTATTGTTCTGGATCTTTGGAAATACTCGGAACTATATATAAATCCTTCCCTTCTGGCCTCTCTTCCTCCGTCCACTCCTCAGTTACCCTCGCTTCGTCCATGCTCCTACCCCTACACCTTACACCACAACTACAGCTGTTAGCACCGGAAAGCTCGGCAGGTTCGAGAATTCCCCAGCACGGACATAACAAAAAATCCAACCATCTCCCCATCTGGTCCATCTCCTTATAAACTTCCATCCGTATATTTCATCGATTCCACGTTTACACTTCACAAAAGCACATAACAAAAACGCTCCCCCCGGCTCTGAGCCAAAAAGGAGCCATGTGATGCCATGTGGGACACCAAGCGCTCCAAGCTGCTGAAGGTTCTGGAGCAAAGCGCAAGAGCTCGGGATCGAGGTCAACCGGTTGCTGAACGCATTCAGGTTCCTCACTCGACACCGCCCACGAGGAAAAATGGCCGGCATGTTCCGGTGAAATCAATAGATCAAGTCACTCCACTGACAGGGCGGGGAAAAAGCCAGGCTGCCGGCAGCCTAGCCTCATTGTCACCACTTACAGCCACAGTCATAAGAATCATTGAACATTGCACATGGCCCGTGGTCAGTGCTGACTGCCACAATGGCCATCTCTTCCACCCAATTGATGGAATTTCATCGAGGCGTTTCCTTTCTTTCAAATCCAATATTGTTCAGGGTCATCCTGGTATAGATAGAATTATGGGGAAATCGAATAGGACATTCGACATCTTGTGGGATTGGATTCATATTCATTCATGTTCTATCTACTCCAGTCCAGGTGCAACACATCTCTGGCGGCCCTTAACTTTGAGTGCAAGACTCAGAAGAGAGGTCATGTGACCGATGCAATCGGGCAAGGCAGTCAGTCGGTTTCCTCCCAACCTCAAATGCCTCACGCGACGAACGCACTCGACCGAGGTCGGTTGGCGCTTGGCCAGTGGTGGTGAGTGGAGCCAAGCAACCAGTGGTGAGGCCACCTGGTGGTGCTCCAGGCTCAGTCGAGTGGCTCTTGAGTGGTGAGGTGAGCTCCAGTTGACTAAGAGCCTGGAGCTAAGTCGATTTGCTGACCTGGGGAGGTGACCTGCCCATTTGGCCCACAAGCGAACGAGACAAGCCGGAGTCTTTTGCAGCCTGGAGGCGTTAGTTGGAGCGAACACAGAGAGCTTGGCAGGAACTGCAAGCTATCGAACTTGAGATTCAGCGTTCTTAGAACGGCTGGGCGCTTTTTCGTTTTTACTGGGCCATTTTTGTGGGGTTGTTGAGAGTCTTCGGTGGGACCTGTAGTCTCTTCGATAGTGAGGCGATCTCCGTGATGTAACAATGGTGCAAGAGTATCTGAATCGTGCAGTATCTTGCCTATATCAAGCCCAGCAAGTAGATACAAAAAGATTGTTTGTCGATTTGGACTTGAAACTTATAGTCAACATGTCCACCGTTGGTGACAGTGATAATGCAGCATCCCATCAAGCAATAATAAGTTCAAGCAGCTGCATGCATAGAACAGCGATACCAAGGCAGCAAAACAAAGGAACTCGTCTGGGTAATATGTATAATGTATATATATTTTTAAGATTAGACAAGCCGTTGATCTTTGCAATATTTGGCATGCTGCGCAATGGTACCTCAGCTCGTTGTGTCAGTTTGATTGCCAAAGACCCACGCAGTTCAAGTTGAGAAGCCGCAAGTTCATTGGAAGACGTTCCTCGGAACGATCGCAAAGGCTTGCTGAACATCAATGGGTTCACACATGTGGAACTGTGGTATCGGTAGAAAGAGATTGCTTGCACACAGTGATTTATCTCGCAAGGGGGCGGCAAACAACCGCTGAAAGCACGCTTTGCCGGGTCGTTAACACGTGAAAGCACACTAGCAGCTTTGTGCATGCAAGGGGTAGCGGAAACACTACATATACATATTCATGCATGCATACATATTGTATTATAATGTAATATATTGTTACAATGTTTAGATACATGCAAATATTGAGAGAGATAATGAGTCAGTTATGAGTCCTCTTTTTACGGCAAATGTCAAGGCTGGTGGTCGAAACTAAATATGCAATGAGATGTGATTGTTTCCTGCCAAGACGAACCGACAATGTAGAAGGAATGACATCCAATGCGAACAAGCAAAGGCTTCCTCATGCCCACCCACCCAAGAAAACGTACTGCTTTTTTTAAACATGGACTCATACCTTGATGTGGGAGAATCTTGGGATACAGCTGCTTGACATGCATTTCCCCCACTCCGATCTCCTCCGTGTGGCTCTACCCATGTGGCCTGTTCGCATCGGCGACCGACGGAATGTCTCGTGCCGGACAAACCAACCCAGTAGCTCAGTAGCGTCTCAGTAGCTCACCCGTTTCTGTTTTTTTGAGGCAGATTGGGGATCTCCAAAATTGGCTCAACTCCTCCGGAACAGAAGATGTACTAGAAGATTCATTTTTTTTAAATTGTATATAGAATAGAAGAGTCATGCATCCCAATTTTCACAAGCACGGGCTCAGTTCTAGTGGTCTGCTGTTTCAATGTAGCGACACAGTCTTTCACTTGCGCAAGAGCTTGTGCAAGTATCTGGCAATGCTTCCACTGCTGGACTTTCTGCGAGTGTCAGCGACCTTGGGAGAATGAATGTTCGCTCGAAGAAGAATTGGACATTCCCCTACTCAACGAACTCAACGACGCAGTTAGATTCTTTTACCCGCAGCCAAATCAGGGGTTGCTCCCACTCGAACTTCTTTCACCTTGTGCACTTGTAGCCACAAGTTGAATATGATGAGAATGCAGGGCATGTGCGTTTTGTCTTCGGATGAAGGGGCAAGAACACACATCTCAATTTGTCTGCCCGGACAAACACAAAAGGTCACATTTATCGTGGCCGTGAAGTTGTTGCAGTAGTCTTGATTTTGTCACCCCCAATAGCCCCCTGAGGTTCAGCTTCCAGATGTGGTGAGAGGGCGGAAGCGTCAAGAGCGGCCAAAACAAAAGTGGAGCTGGACAGCAAGCCACGCTGCAATTGTCGGCAACCACAACCACGCATGAACCGGCACATTGGTTTTCACCCGAATGCAGGCCACCAAACATTAGGGTCTGGGTTCGGCTCTGGCGCTTTCCATAACATGTCTCCCTCATCGCCGGGATCCTTACCAATCACCTAACTCGACATATACCAATCACTCCCTTTCGTCCGCCGGTCCCTTCGGCCGTGCGGTTCGTCCACCGGCCAGTCCACCCTCCCAGCGGAGTCCGAGGCGAGGGGCTTCAAGCCCTTGAGCTGGTGAATGCAGTCAGGCAAGGTTCGGAGTGGAAGATTCACCAACTCCAAATTCCTGGGGTTAGAGAAAACAACTCAAAACGAGACTCATGAAAAAAACAACTGAAAATGACACTGACGCTGACACCAGAGTCTTGTTCTCTGGTTCAGGTTCTTCATCAAAGACAATATAAATAATATGGAAATCTGTCAAGCTCCTGGAGCAAGATCAAGATCAAAAACAGAACGAGTACTTTGACCCTACATGCACCATCGTACACCATCCCTACATAGCCATATCCATGTCGCAGGGGGGACGTAAGGCCAGCACCAAAAACATCTGCAGGCCCAGTGAAATCACCTGAAAGCAAATAGTTTTTTAGTTATATAGAACCTACAAGTATTTTAGCAAATAGTATTATTTTAGTAATAGTATTTTAGTTATATAACCTGGAAGTCTAAGGCTATTTCCAACAAGGTCTTTCGGTTACCCGTTTTTATGAATTTCCATGAATTTCCTCTACTTCAGCAAGCGCATTGTAGTCTTTGGTCTTCTAGGGTACATCATGCTATATCCATCTTCTATCAACCACGCAAAGTGTCAAAAGAACCCCACACTTTGCATACCAGATTTGGTCCGCCCACCAGTCTGTCCAGCACTCAGCATACAGTCTTTCCAGCGTGAACTCCCTAAGGCCTCCGGATCTGCTCCCCCCGTTGTTTTTTTTACCAGTGGAACCCTCCCACGCTCGTTCTTCAGGCTTTCTCGAAAGCCTTCCAATGTGACCGACCCTCAAAAAACGATCATTTTGGTCATCCATCGGTATCGCCAATCGGTTCATCCCAGGCAGCTCAAGGCCGCTGAGCTGGCACAGGGTGTCCGGCAAGGAGGTCAAGGGATTCTTACGGATCTTCAGCTCCCTGTGCGGATCGAGCGGATCGACGCCCAGGGAGTCAGGTCGAGGCTTTGGCCTTGGCGGCCTTGACGGTTTTTTGTCCGCAAAGAACAACACAACTCCCAGCAATCCATGTATGGAATACTTACCTATACAGCCTATATAGTCCTATACGTTGACACGTAAAACATCTTTAGAAGCACCAAAGGGTAGGCAAATATTCCATAGACATGGATTCAATGGATGGTTTGGGGTTATAATGTTATAAATTTGTTTCTCCATGCATATATGCCTGACATCAGAGTCTTCATTTCTCCTGGCTCGAAGATGGTTCAAAAAGATCAATCCAACAAGGCCAGATGTCTCACATCTCGCCTCAAGCACTGGAGCTTGCTCAGCTCATCTGGCAAGGTGTTCAGCGAGTGGTTGTTGATGTTGATAAGCCTAAGAAGGTCTATTCGGAAACCGTCAAACGTGACGCTGGTCACGTTAAAGGATGATATCTGGATACTGTAGCTGGCATCAAGAATTACTTGGCAGACTCACTTCAAAACCGAGAGACCCCTTCACTGTCCACGTGTATTCTGTGATCAACATCTCCCCATACATCACGGCCAAGCGGAAAGTACACTCGCACACTCGCTCAGTGGAGCGTGAAACTCAGTGAAATCCTTTGCAGTCTGTTATTCCTTGCTCTTAGGTAGGAGGCCGTCGCTAGAAGGTTGGAGGCCGTCGCAAGTAGCTTTTGTTGATGCAATGCATGTTAATGTTCATTTAGGAGGTACACTCCGACAAAAACCCGTCACATGGAAGTGGAGTTCACCCCTGTTGGTAGAGGAAAATGGTCTTCTCAGGGATCACTGTGCACTTCAGATGACTCAGAGGGTTGCGGACCGGAAACCAAACCAGTCATCTTGTGCATACCAGTGCAGTTCGTGCACTGCAAAGACTCACCTCATCATGCGGAGACGTGTTTACTTGAATTATCTTTATTATATAGATTCTTTGCCTTGTTTATATACGTGTCACTGTTGGGGTTGGCTTGACATTGAATCATTCATATCATTCATACCAAAGCACGTCGACCCAAGACCCAAGACGGAGCACCAGCACGTCCCCGAACGCCTAACGCCCCGCGCGTAAACGGTGGCCGCGCCACACCCGCGCCCGAAGAACGAAGAGGCAACAAAAAACACTCCCGTTTCATTTCGCTGAAAGAATGGAAGTGGCATGGCCCCGAACGGAAAGACGTATGAACTCCGAAGACCAAACCAAACCGGGTGAAATCCGTCTGGTCGCGCGACCGACGTCTCGGACACGGAGACGATGGGAGACGACGCAGGGAGACACCCTCGCTAAATTGGGATAAGATGCTCCAACTTGGTCCATTTGCCAATTGCTGCAGTTAGAGTCGTCTTCTTCTGCAAATCATGCTTGGACAACCACAGCTCAAGAACGTGCCCGTGTGAACCTCCGTGCTGAACAAACTGCAAAGATCATCAAATTAAAGAGACGCATGAAAGTGGACTCTGCTGATTCCACAAACAGCTTCTGGCTGGAACATGCTCCTTCCAAGCTGCACGTCTCTATCTACGGCTCTACAAAATGTCTCACATTGCAAGCAGCAAAAAACACCCTGCGAAATTCACGTTGTCGCTCAAGTGCATGAGATCGCGGCCAAGCGACAGGTGATAGCATGCCACCTGCATGCGTCCTCACAAAGCCATTCATGATGCCGCTCGAACAACAGAAAAAGATGTGGGTGATTCAACACTCAATGGGACATGCCTCATGATGGGTCACAGCATGTTCACTCTGCACTCAAATTGGTTGCACGTATCGGCACCGTGTCAATCAGCTTTACTGCCTGCCGGAGCCCTGTCGGATGGAAAGAAACAACCAGTTTAGAAGAGTTTAGATTCGCCCACGATTGCCCAATGCCCAAATCCAGAAGGGGGCTGACAGGCAGAATCCCCAAGCCATGGCTATTTATTTGCAGGTATTAGGAGAGAAAGCTGGTGCGCAAAGCACGGCTTGACATTGACATGGGAAAATAGTGGCACTTCTTTCCAACAAAATCACCAAGAATACATGTCTTCCACCCGTGTGGCTTCACCATGCTTCACCACAGCCTCAAATGGCCTGTGGGACGGCGTGGGACGTCGCACAGCTCGTGCGAGGCGACACGCGCGTCGCTCGTCGCTCATCACGCGGCTCAGCGGCCTGGCGATGATATCCAAAGGCTTCGGCTTCGGGGAAAATCTCCATGAACGCCTCGAGTCAGATCTGCGAGAAATCTCAACACCCAAATCAGGAAAATTGGGAAAGCCATTCCGAATTGGGGATGAACACTGAACAGCTAAACAAAATTATCTGACAGATATGATGGCTTATCATGACGGTTGACCTTTTATATAACATTCTCCGAAACAATGTGTTCACGCAAATTGCTTCATTCGGCGAAACGATACTTTCGGCACCTGCTCAACGGGATTGCTTGTTTGTTCTTTTCTTTTTCGGGTCTCCACTGAGAAATTTCCCATCTAGGATTCTATAGGAGGTTGCCCGGACATCCCAGAAGTAACTTCATCCGTCTGGTGCTGTGTTCCTTTAGCAACGGCGATCGAAAACGGATGAACACGGCGAGGAACCATGAGGAACCCCCGTTTGGCCCCTGCAGATGTGATGAGGAACCATGCGGGCTCACCCCGCCGGTCACCTCGAACTCGCTGGAGTCCATCCCATAGTCGTTGGTCACGGACAGGCCGACCGCGCAGGCCTCGGCTCGGACGCGGTGGTTCCGAAAGTGACCGAGAAGACGGTCGGTGGACGGTCGGGACTCCTTTGACCGGCATGGGATGGTAGGAAGTAATCTGGTCAACATGGCTGAGGTCTGTGGGAGGCTTGATCATCTGGAAGATTCCCTAAAACATCTAGGCCTCATGATATCATGACACCACAGCACAGAAACCAAAGAGTTCATTCAGCTCTGAGGTGTCCGTTCAGCTGTGAGGTGTCCGTTTTCCAGTTCAAAGTCACTCGTATTATTATCTCATGTCTCGCGCAAACGACGAACCTACCAGCTGCTTCCAAGGGGTTACCAATGGACAACCCCACACTGCTTATAGGTCACCATTGGACACCCATTGGAAGCGCTAGGTACTGAGTACTGGGGTTTTCGAAACATTTTGGCTGAACTTTGGGCCAAAGTTCTTCTCGAAGAACTGCTGAAGAAATGGAACAAGGGATTTCACAGCAGCCGGTTTTGTATGACCAGCAGTCTTGCATCCTGTCACCTTGCATTCCACTAGGATGGCGGACATCCCACTCATGCAGTTCGTTTACTGTGTTCTCTCGACATGCCGGCAAAAATGCGAATCTAGTGGTTTGATCCGCAAGGGCATGGCATTGTTTATCAGCTGAAGACAAAGGGATCGCTCCACCCCAGCCAAAGGATCTCGAGCGATATCAAACCTGCAACGGTACCTTTGAAAGCAGATGGGAATGCACCAATTTTGATCATGGACAAGTTATGGAATTGGTGATATAACGACAATGTCAAGATGTGAAACAAAATATGTCATGGCTGAAACATCCCACAGAACTCCCTTCCAAAACCATATGTTGCTTCTTGTCTCTGATTCAGTAGCGACACCGTAATCAAACATTGCTTCGCGATGCGAATCGCGTGTTCTTGCCCTTGACCACTCTAGCGGTCCCCCTGTCTACTCACCCTGCCAAGAAGCAAGGAAAATGGGCCCCGCACGGAACTGCACCATTCGCGGCTCCCCTCCGCCCTTCCCCGCGGCGGGCGCTCCGCGGGCCGCGCGGGCCGCGCGGGCCGCGCGGGCCGCGCGGGTCCGGAGCCGAGCTGAGCAGACATCCGCGTCTGCGACCAGACCCATACCATCGGGTGTACCAGAGTCTAGCTGATGAAATGGAGAAATCATCATCCTCCAGGACCTTCCAACAGGTCACCCTGGAGGGTGCTGGATGGTCAATGAATATCAATGAGGTGTTTTTGTGTTGGCTAGTATGACCACCAATATGACCACCCTAAACACCACGGGATCTGGTGGCATTCTACGGTTGTGGCGATTTCTTCCAGGCCCATCCATGTTTTTGCAGTTGCATATCGCCTATGGGGCTCCATGAGGACCAAGCAGCTGCTTTCTGAAGAATTCTGCACTTGGAAGCAGCTGGTATGCTCTGTCAATCTTGAATTCGCCCAAAACTCTCTGGATGGCCTCCCCAGTCCCATGTCCAGACTCCAAACTCCCCTGAGTTCAAGTCTTCTTATCTCTGCTTCGACTCCGCGAGGATTTCTCTCGGTACACGCGAGTCCTGAGCTCTTCGGACCCGGATCCCGAGCGTTGCGAGCGTCTCGTCGCGCGAAGATGGGGGTTGAACGGATGGTGAGTGCTCCTTCTGTGTCGGGTGTGTACGCCGGGTGTCGGGTGTCGGATGTCGGGTTCGGGTTCGGGTTCGCGTACATAATGCAGTTTCGGTGCTCAATTAAGGAAAGATCAGCTTCTGTGATCCTCTACGTTCTTCTGTCGTGTCATGTCGCATGCACGTTAATTCCTCTACGTTGCTTCCCCACTGGAACCCAGTTTTCAGGGCCTCGGCTGAGTTCGCTCAAACGCCAATATCGCCTTCTGCATATATGAGCTGGGCCAAATATGTACGATTAAACCTTCATGTCGTATAACTTGCTTACACTCCTGCTTACGCTTTTCTTACGCGACCACAATGTGAGCTTACGCGCCACAGATGTTGAAGAAGACCTTACGCAGATCTTAAGCATCTGCATCTTCGCAAATGAGAACCATACTCCCAAGGGAAATGCTTACGCGAAGGCTCCTTTCTGCAGGTGAGCGGGTGACAAACACATGAGCGGGCTCTCATGGTCCATACAGTTCCTTTCTTGACAAGTGGCAAGCTTACGCAACAGGCATATCTCACAACTCCCTTACGCAACCTTACGCTTTTCAGGTTCTTGCTTATGCCCAAGTTCCATATGACAAGGCCTTTACTTAGTTCATCTTGGGAGGTTTTTGGCCGTGCTCATATGGTGGGCAGGACATTCCATTCCTCCTGACTTTGCCAGGCCCAGAAAGGCTTCCCAGCTTCCTCGCATATACAAAGCTTCTAGAAAGCTTTATTGTTACTAGTAGCGATGGCCTCCACCTGGTAGCTTCTACTTACTATTATACATCATTATGCATGATCTTTCTTCTTTCTCCACAATGCGAAAGACCCAACTTTCTACCCACGGTCCTCCTCTCCACCCACGCGTCATCTTGCCCGTCCTCGGCGGCGAAAGATCCTTCTTTTTCACCACCGGATTTCGTAGCCTCTCCAGCCTCGGTGCTGGGCTGCCTAGGGGCAGCAAGAGATCCGGAGCAGTGGATCCCGTGAGGCAGGCAGCTTGGATTTTTGGCCTGGTGTTTTGGCTTTGGGTACCATTGAAGCGAAGGTCTATGTATCATCATGCCAGTGCCATAGTGGTCCTGAACGTTGATGGCACACCATGCCAGTACACGTGGCCCCAGAATCATGCACCATTCTGTAGACAGTCAAAACATGAGAACAGCAGGTAGTGAACACCAGGGCTTTTGACGATTTCGGGTGACTGCGAAGGTGAAAATCTATGATAATCTACGTATATACGTATACATGTATACACAAATGGCAAAGGGGTCGACCGATCTCAGAATCTGTGGCCCTCGAGGCCAATATGAACATGGCTCATAATAACTTGTAACTAAAGACCCACCCACTGCAAACATCTCCAAATATGGCTGGTACACAAAGAGATTTAATCAATCCAATTTGGAGACAGAAACAAACAGAAAAAGCATCAAGCAAAATGTGTTCCCGATATTCGAAAACGTGCAAAGTGACTTAAAGTGGTAAATTCCTCATTATTTAATGTGCTTCAAATTTCTTCAACATGAGCTCACATGCTCAAATATTAATAGTGCTTCTTCAACTCTTCAACGTCTTCACTCAATCTTCTCTTCTCCCTTGCTCTTCAACACCCCTCCCCCAACCAACCCTCCAAACTGCACCGGTCTACGAAACCGGTCTCCCGTCCATTCCCACCGGTCGCCACGGACCCCGGGCGCGGCTTTCTGACGGTCTTGCTTGCTGGGCAGTTCGCCCACCTGTGAGGTCCACGCACCGAAGGTAGCTGCGGTGCACCCCCGCGAGAGGTGTGGAGAAGTGCGCTGACTGGGATGACTGGATCGGAGGCTTGGGCCTGTGCTTCTATTTGAAGCTTTAGGGTGTTAAAAAAGGTCATGATGGCTGAGAAAAAGAAAGGTGAAAAGCGTCAAACATGCGACGCACAAGGCTATGAGTTGAGTCATCATCAATGTGTCGTGTGCAAGTCTCTTGCATGCTGCATGCATTATTGCTTTCAGAAGACCAGTAGGGTCTTCTACAGAACAAAGGTGGACACACAGCCAAAAAGTCTTTGTTCACAGTGGATAGTAAAGGCCAAAACTCCAAGTGGTATTGTTCACCTCTGATTAATGAACAGCCCCCCCTACTCACTGAAGGGTTAGTTTATACAGTACATGTTTATACATCGTAGGTCCACCTTCAGATTTGAAGACTTCAGGTCCTCTCCACAGCTTCGCTGGGAAAAATCCAAGTCCATCAGTCCGTCGAGCCACGGTGGTTAGACTGTTGCGTGGCCCCGAACTCGCTGTGATGCGGGGACCTGGACGCCGCTGGCCGACGACGCGGTGGACGAGTGGATGGTGCCGAACTCCTCGACGTCCGCCGGGCTGGGCTGGGCTGTAACTTAGGCCCAGCACAGCACAGCACAGCCGGGAAAACCCGTGACCCTGAGAAGGCAACAAACATGGAAGTGGAGTTCACCCCCTGTTGGTAGAGGAGAAGGGTCTTTCCAAAACCAGGACGTCCACGTAACCATGAGGACGTTGGAGATAGGGTATAACCATTCTGAACCTCTGTTTGGGGCTGTGAAATAGATGTTCATATATAGGATCATGTGTGGGGGGGATGTCCCTGAGGTATACTTTCATCTTCCAACTATGCAACATATTTATATAACAAAGGGGATTCCAATATATGTTGAAAGTCAAGCTTGCTGAAACAAGACAAGTCCAATCATCCAGAGGTTTGTCCGGATTGAAGCTACAACCACATTCTCGCGATCGCGATGAGTTCTTTTGAAGGGCTCCGCCTTCTTCCTATCTCCGTGAAGCAAACATAGTTGCCGAACACCCACCAAATGGAAGTCGCTATCTTTTGTGCTTATCTTCCCAACTCATCAATCCAATATTATTACCAATATATCCAGATCTATCTTCTGTCCTTATCAAACCGCCTTATCCTTCTGTCCTTCCAACCGTCTCCTCCAACGATCCTTTCGACCGCCACGTCCGCCACTGTCCGCCACCGTCCCTGCCCCGGAACCCGCGACGCCGTCGTCTGACCACCCGAGCGACTGTTGCTCGGAGGATCAGCTCCTCGCCGGCGTCCATAGACGTCCAAGCCTGAAGCGACCGGGAAACATGGTGCTTCAACTCCAATCGGAGAAATCCATCTCAAGGTGCAGAAAAAACCTGGTTCAGTTCTCATGAGTTCTCCCCATTCTGGATGTGTGGCGACCGTGTGACGACCCTGTGACGTGGTTTTGTTTGTTCAATTCACAAAGTGATGGTTGTTGTGTGTATGTGTGTTTTGCATTGGTGAAGCATGGTTGTTGTGTGGTCACCCCTTTCGAAAGCATCGTCAGGGGCGAAGTGTCGGACCATCAGGGCTGTAGGGCGGATCGATTGGGTTGCACACAATTGCACGCATCACGAAGCGAACACTTCAGAAGCCCCACCGGCCCCCCCCCCCGCCCCCCTCCAAACACTCAACATCATCATAGATACTCATGCGTCCTCAAACGTAGTTCAAAACACCAAAAGACCGACCAAGCGGAAGGAACCATAAGGATCATAAGGAACCTAAACTTAAGATCATCATTCTTAGGGCCTGGCAGGGTAGCCTTCAGAAAAGAAGCTGAAACAGCGCTGTTTCCAGCGCATCGCGCTGAAACCACGCGCGCGTTCGGCGCTCTGCGTGGTCCAGGTGCCCTTCCTCCACTTGGCCGCCTGACCGCCTTTGGCCTCTTCAATCAGCTCCTGTCGTGAGAGACCGGAGAGACCGGACCCGGCGGGGTCGTCGTCTGAAACGACACGAAACCCAAAAGAGCGGTCAGCACATCAAGGGTCGTCCACAGCTTCTGAAGAGTGGATTTGCATGGATTTGATTGCATCTATCAATTTACATCAATCTATATATATCTCCCTGGTTGGTGGGTTTGGTCATTGATGTGTGCCTTTTGTTGGTCTGTTGAATCCCACAAAGAGTTGTTCTATCCTTCTATCCCCTGACATCATCTGCTTTGGTCCCCTATTCTATGATGTGCCTGTTTCCCGACTGCATCAACGGACCCGCCAACCCGATCGCCTCACTGCGGGTTCCACGCCCGCGATCACCCTCCGAACGTTCGAAGAAGCCACCGCCACGGCCCAGGCCCTGCAGTGCGCGCGCCTGAGGCGACGTCGGAACGGCCGCAGGGACGGCCCAAAATGAAGGCTAAATGGAGGGTGTGTGGAGAAAGGGGGTCAGCAAAAATCGCTTATACGAAGTTAGTGCATCAAAAATACTTTCCACGAAGTTCTGCGAAGGTTTCTAGGATTTCGTTGCAGTCAGTTCTCCTACTGGCCCACCAATCCACGAACTATCCACGAATGGCCTTGGGTTCTACGAATGTCCCGCGCCTTCCACGATGTTAGTAGAATAGGTTTTTGCAAAACCCTTTCTGTGCACTACCCTTCCGTTTGCCTCTGACAAAACGCTGTTATTTTAGGGTTTGGAAGGCGGGAAAGCACTGTGTTCTTTTTCTTTTCGAAGGGTACATCCCCCATTTTTGCGGAGCTATTCTCAATTTCTCCCACAATTGATCAAGGCATGAATTGTTGCTTCAACATAGTCCATGGGTCTTCTGCTACTTGTGGAGAGGGTGTCTGTTGGCGACAAAACACGGTCACAGTGAGTCGGTCTGTTTGATTTAACGACGCTTTCGGAGGACATTGGAAGAGTGTTCCGAACTGTCCAAGCCTAAAAACAAACAAACACTTCGGACAGCAAACGAGCTACCGCTGCAAGCCGCCTGCTGTCGAACCACTCTCTCTTCTTGACGAAGCTGTGAACATTTGGTGCAATGGCTGCCTCCAAGGTGCTGGCGAGGTCTCAACACTGCGGGCACCCACTAGAGTTCATCATGGGGGGCCATGGGCGTCGCCCAGTTGGAACGAAGAACGCCTCAAAACCAGAGTAACGAGGATCATCCAATGGGTGTCCTGTCTGGTGACCTATAAGCAGTGTGGGCTTGTCCAGCCAGGTAACCCCGAGCGGAAGCAGCTGGGATGCTTCATTTTGCCCGGTTGGCGTTGCAGGATGTCGCAGTTTCTTTGTTTTTTCTGCTTTTGTTTGAGGAAGGTCATCCGATTGACCCGTGTCCCGCACCCGGGTCAAATGGACCCATAGAAAATCTGCGCGACTTGCGGTCTCTGTCTGATACAGCCCATGTTAGGCAGTAAATTACACAGGACCAGGACCCCTATATATATATATATAAGGAGATTTCCTTACATTTGAGATTAGTTTCAACACGTTCGAGAATCGGTAGTTTAACACGGCGGCCCAAATGTAGCTGCAATGGCTCAAAGGGGATATGCCATTGCATATGGGGGGAAAGGATCCGCGAAGATTGAGGTTACTCAGATGCAAGCTGCGTGAAGTTCAGTTGAAGGTTTTCTTGAAATGACTAATTGTTACACGATGTTACACGGTTTGTTTTTGGGGCCGAGGTTCTTTCAGTCATGTTGCAATGAATCAGCTCCAGCAAGCGCTTCGAGCTCTACCAGGCTATTTGCTGATGGTCTTTCGAGCTCTACAAGGCTATGTGCTGATGGTCCTTCGAGCTCTACAAGGCTATGT